CCGTAATCACATTAACCGATTCCTTCAAATGAATCTCTCTGTTCCTCCTGGCTAATGACAGTCTGCAAAAAAAAAAAAAGAAGAAAAAAGGGAAGAAAAACATTTTTCAAACAATAAAATGAATGTCTCTCAAGCTCTGTGTGTGTATATAAGTAAAATATACAGGATATATATATAAGATATAGTGTGTAACATATAATATTATATATATATAATTCTGTTTCTCTGGAGATATAATAGGTTGAATGAATGTATACTATATATTTATATAACCTACAAATATATATGTGTGTGTGTGTGTGTGTGTGTGTGTGATTCTGCTTCTCTGGAGAACCCTAATACACTATTCATGGTCAAATTGGTGACTATCTTTTTTTTTTGAGACAGAGTCTCGCTTTGTTGTCCAGGCTAGAGTGAGTGCCGTGGCGTCAGCCTAGGCTGGTAGCTGGGACTACAGGCATGTGCCACCATGCCTGGCTAATTTTTTATATATATATCAGTTGGCCAATTAATTTCTTTCTATTTATAATGGAGACGGGGTCTCGCTCTTGCTCAGGCTGGTTTCAAACTCCTGACCTTGAGCAATCCTCCCCCCTCGGCCTCCCAGAGAGCTAGGATTACAGGCGTGAGCCACCTCGCCCGGCCAAATTGGTGACTATCTTAAGTCAACATTGGTAAGGAAACTTAAAAATGACAGCTGAGTTGTTTCCAGGTCATATGTTACCTGTCAATAACATAGTCCTAGAAAAGCTGAGGGGGTAGGACATGGCCAGGAACCTACGCCTTGAGGGCCCTTAGAACACCTTCAGAGGGCTGTTATCCACCCCCCCCCCCGCCCCCGGGGTTTAACATGTTTTCATTATTGCATGTCTGTTGTCAGGATGGATTGAGACATTTCCCTTGTCAAAAGCCAACTCTTAATATTGTATAAACCTGCTCGGTTTTGGGTTTTCAACCTGGGGTGTAAATTTCTGTATCAAGTGAACAAGGCACACACTTTGGGGAAGTCTTGTGAAAGAACTCTGGCTGGGGTGGTGGCTCAGCCTGTAATCCTACGCACTCTGGGAGGCCAGAGGCGGGGATTGCTGGAGGTCAGGAGTTCGAAACCAGCCTGAAAAGAGCAAGACCCTGTCTCTACTAAAATAGAAAAGTATTCACTTGGCCAACTAAAATATATTTAGAAAATTATCCAGGCATGGTGGGGCATGCCTGTAGTCCCAGCTTACCAGGGAGGCTGGGCAGGAGGATTGCTTGAGCCCAGAGTTTGAGGTTGCTGTGAGCTAGGCTGACACAAACACGCACTATATAGCTGGGGCAACAAAGTGAGATCTGTCTCAAAAAAAAAAAGGAAAGAACTTGTAAGACGTTATCCCTCTACTAAAAAACTATATTAGATCCCTACATAATATAATATATTCCTTATATTAGATTGCTTATTGCTGTTGTACTAATGTGCTACAAAGGTAGTCGGCTTAAGAATGACACAGGTATCTTACAATTCGGAGGTCAGAAGTTCTAATGGGTATCACTGGGCTAAGATCAAGGTGTCAGCAGGTTGCGTTCCCTTCTAGGGCTTCTAGAGGAGAATCTGTTCCCTGCCTTTTCTGCTTGCTAGCGGTGCCTGTGTTCCTCTGGCTTGTGCCCCTTTCTCCCTCTTCAAAGCCAGCAATGGCCACGTGAGATCTTTCACATCTGTCACTCTGTCACTGCTTGCATGCTCACTCTCCTCGTGGACCCGCCTGCCTTCCTCCCACTTGTAACAGCCTCGTGATTATAATACGTGGGGACCCACCAGCTAATACAGGATAAGCTCCTCATTCATGATTTGATATTAATAACTTATCACATCTGCAAAATCCCATTGCCATGGGAGGAAACAGTCAAAGTTCCAAAGCGTACGACATGAACTCTCTGGAGGGCCATTATTCTGCCCCAACTGCTTCCACCCATGATCTCCGAAAGTTTGAAAAACCAGTGGCATCTTGGTTAGTGGCATTGATTACAATCGCAAGACTTTCAGAAACTTTTGTGCTCCCTTAGCCAAAGGTATCCTGGAGCCATTATGGCCATATGGTCCACTCCCTTGGGGACACATCAGTTGCTGACCATGAACTGATTACTCAGAGCCTTTGGAGTTAGGTGCTCGACATGGGCTACTAGGACCTTAACTACACCCAGTCCTAATCGCGAGCGAGGTAAGGACGTTCCCACAACGCCATCGATCTTAAGCGCTCTCACGTGGGTCTCATAGCGAATTGGGTATGGACAGATGTGCTCGAGGAAAACTGCCATCCTGGCCGGCGCGGGTGGCTCACCTGTTTAATCTGCTGACTCTGGGAGGCCGGGCGTGGCGCGATTGGTCGGAGGTCGGAGTCTCGAAACCAGCCTGAGCAAGAGCAGACAGTCTTACTATAAATAGAGAAATTAATTGGCCAACTAATATATATATATAAAAAAAAATAAATTAGCCGGGCATGGTGGCGCATGCCTGTAGTCCAGCTACTCGGGAGGCTGAGCGAAGGATTGCTGTGCCAGGAGTTTGAGGTTGCTGTGAGCTAGGCTGACGCCATGGCACTACACTCTAGCCTGTGCAACAAGTGAGACTCTGTTTCCAAAAAAAAAAACAAAACAAAAAAACTGGCCATCTTGAACCTCATTGAAAGGGATCTTATCAGGAACAATTTAACATAATATACAGCAGTGAAACCCCAGGGACTCATCCATTTTAGGTTACATTTTGCAACTAAGCAGCAATCCAGATTCCATGCAATTGGAAGGCATGAGGAGTCTCAAGATCTTCTTAAAGTAGGCAACCTTCACAAGAGACAGCTGACCCGACCTTTGGACAAATCGATGCCCTGGGGTGGTGACGGTGTCTGCCCAAGACATCAGATGGAGACTTCTATTTCTTGATTGCTTCAAGTTGCAGTTAAAAAACAAAAGACTTCTGTCTAGGCGGGGGCGGTGGGCTCACGCCTGTATCCTAGCACTCTGGGAGGTGAGGCGGCGGATGACTCAAGGTCAGGAGTTCGAAACCAGCCTGAGCAAGAGCGGACCCGTCTCTACTATAAATAGAAAGAAATTAATTGAGCAATAATATGATATAGAAAAGATTAGCCAGGCGCGGTGGCGCAGCCTGTAGCCCCAGCTACTCGGGAGGCTGAGGCAGGAGGATCGCTTGAAATCTAGGAGTTTGAGGTTGCTGTGAGTTAGGCTGACAACAGGGCACTCTAGCCCGGGCAAAGAGGTGAGACTATGTCTCAAAACAAAACAAAACAAAAAAAACAAAAATCTTCTGTCTAGGCCAGGTGCAGTAGCTCACGCCTGTAATCCTAGCACTTTGGGAGGCTGAGGCGGGAGGATGCCTTGAGCTCAGGAGTTCAAGACCAGCCTGAGCAAGAGTGAGACCCTGTCTCTATTTAAAAAAAAAAAAAAAGACTTCTGTTTAATTCTTGTTTTGCTTTTTGGCTGCTTGCTTATAATTATCACTCCCATTTTATACAGGCTGTTGTCCATCCATAATGGTCCTTTTTTTCCTCTTCATAATTGTTTGTTTATTTATTTATTTTTTGAGACAGAGTCTCACTCTGTTGCCTGGGCTAGAGTGCTATGGTGTCAGCCTAGCTCACAGCAACCTCAAACTCCTGGGCTCAGGAGATTCTTTTGCCTCAGCCTCCCGAGTAGCTGGTACTACAGGCATGCGCCACAATGCCTGGTTAATTTTTTCTGTATATATATATTAGTTGGCCAATTAATTTCTATTTTTAGTAGAGATGGCGTCTCGCTCTTGCTCAGGCTGGTCTCGAACTGCTGAGCTGAAAGGATCCACCCACCTCGGCCTCCCAGAGTGCTAGGATTACAGGCGTGAGCCACCACGCCCGGCCTCTCTTCATGATAATTGTTAAGTCAGAACACACTCATTCCAACATTATTTTTAGAATATCCCAAACACCACTCACTTTCCTCAGTTTTAGTGACTAATAGATATGCCACCACCAGACGCCCCTGGTAAAAACCATTTAGCAATTCCATTCTCGTCAAATGAGATCACAGGAGATCACAGCTGATGGCATTTCCACTTGTACTTAAATGGACAAGTGACCTTACACAAATCAACTGGTGACTTCGCTAGTGTCCTTTCTTCCAGAAGAAGAACTAATGTGAAGCGATTGATCAGCCCCTAAATAATTCTAAATTTGAATTCATACACACAGACTCATAGACACTTTACAATCTATGCACACACCAAACAAATATACCAATCCTGACACCACACTTCAGTGCATGTGTCTTTATTTCCGGATGATATATAAAAAAAAAAAAAAAAAAAAAAAA